GCAGATACATACAAATATACTCAAAATTTTTAAGTAACCAGGTTCATAATAACTACTTAGGTAAATTTTTGATAAATAAGACCAGTTTTATATTTGTTTATGGAGTATAGCTATGACTTTTCTTTTTTTCTTACGCAGCTGAGCTAAACCCCCAGCCCAACTTTTCTATTTTGTTAGAAATAATACAAAGTATGAAAAAAGCAGTGAATGTTTAAATTTAAAATTTTTTTTACAGTAAAAGACACACTGTCTTCTCAAACACCCTTCTCTTCCGTGTCTTTAGAAGGTATGATAAAAAAACATGGCCAGCACTGCTGCTGAGGCTGTCCAATAGGAAGATGGGCTTGGAAACAGCACTGCGGGGTCCTCATCCACTCTGTGCACTACTCTGGTGCCAGAGAACTTCTGGCTCTTCTCTAATATCAAAGTGATTATGAAAGAATCAATTCAGGACACTGAGGCAGCCACACAGCATAGCTAAAGACACTCACAAAAGAAGGGGTTTCTCTGGACCACAGCCTTTCTGCTCTGGCAACATTGTCTAAGCTTCTTCATTTGTGTAGCTAAATTGTGGAGATGGATGTCCAAACTCTGCACATGCCAAAGAAAGAACTGGCCCTTGACCAACTCCTGAGGTACTTTGGAGTCCCTGGAATATACTGCATAATAAGAGTGTTTTTGTATACTCTGGTGTCTTTGGTCACACCAGAGTTGATACTGGGAGTTTTGAGGTATTCTGATTCAGTATAGGACCTGGGGGCTGGAGATCAAGCAACTATGGTCAATCTCATGTGCACTGCATGCTTAAACAGTATGACCCAACAGAGACCCTGGAGAACCAGTTAGGGGAACTTCCCTGGATGGCAACCCTTTACATGCTGTCATAAGGATTGCTGGGTGAATTACACACAGTCCATGTGAACTCAGGGAACACCTGGAAGCCTGGCCCTGGTGTCTCCCAGACTTTGCTTTGTGTCTTTTCCTTTCGTTGATTTGAATCTGCAACAGTAAGGAACTGGAACTGTGGGTATAACAGTGCTTAGAATGCTGTGAGTTCCTCTAGCCTGACAGTGGCCTGGGTTCTGTGGCACATTGTCTTGCTGGGTCTACTTCCATTAGAGCATAATAGATTGCCATCCATTGCCTATGTCTCACTGCGTCTGATTTCTTTAAGGACTAGAAAAGTGTATGATTCATCTATCACCACTGGTGCCTTGTACTGTGCTTGAAACAGGTATTAAGTAAAAGTCTGACTGCAACAGAGGCCTACCATGCTCACATGCCTGATTCCTGACTGAGCTAGATGTGTGCTTCAGAGGCCTGCAGAGGAATGTGGAAGCAACGTGAGTTCTCACCCAGGAAGAAATCGTATGATGTTGTGCAAAAGTACAGGTTGTGAAAACTGTCAATCACTGAAGCCTAGACAGAGAATTAAGCTCACTGATGACACATCCTGAACAAGAATTTAAAAAGCCTTAGCCAAATAACAGCAGAGTGATAGTGGAGGGCTCCAAAGGCCAGGGGGAGATGAGAAAGGAAGGCAGAAAGAAGGGCCATGGAGTTTCCGCCCTGCCAACTACATTTAGTTTTTCAGATTATCTCTGCAATAATACAGATGCAAGATATTTCCATTGAAAGTGACAAAACTGAATGTGTAAACTCCAGGAATCTTTGGAAATAAGAGCCTACCAGTCATGACTTCCGTGCTTAGTTCTCTGTTCTGAGAGTTAGCTGCAATCCCAGACCCAAGCCTTTAGTTTCTTGCTGGGAACTTCAAACATGTTTAGTAACAGACTCACTACAAAAATGCACAGCAATAATTAAGCTTTGCTAAGGATCCCTCACTAGTGATTTTTAGCCATTTTTAAGAGATAAACACAGCTAACTTAAACATACACATGCTTTGTCACAGAGGTCTAAGACCAGTCAAATGAAAGAGCAACATACAACACCTGCCCACTTACTAGTGGGTGTCCAGCTCCAACCAGCACTTCAACCAGAAGCACGGGACTACAGTTTATCGGAAAAGATGTCAGGCCTTTGATTTTAACTTCTTTGTTTTGCAAACCGGGAAGGTGGTACTCCTCCATTTGTGGCTGCTGAGTAACAGTAATCATGAGTGAGCAGCCAGGGTCGTGCCAATGTGCTGGCCAAACCAGCACACTGCTTCTCGCCAGGCCTGGCTCAGCCCCACCAAATCACGGCAACCCAGGTCCAAATCACTGTCCTCACAGGGCCTGCCTGGGCACCCTAAGGCATCGCCTGTCTCAGAGCCTGTTTTCGTATCTAGATGACCAGGGAGCCTTGTGCCTGGCATATTGAAAATGCTCAAGAAATGTAATTTCTCTTTCCTTTTCCCATCAAGTTCTCCTCCCTAGCAGCCTTTTCTAAACAGACCTTATCTGAACTATAAATCCAGAGTCACTGGAGTGCTCATTTCCTCCATTCCTCCAAGGATGGGAAATAGCTAGCACACTGCAGAAGAAAAGAAGTTAATTCACAGCATTCTAATGCTGGCTTAGGGCATCAGGGTTCATTCTTCTCAGAAGTCTGGTACAGAAACCCAGCTTCATGGATTCGTCTGGCTCTGCAGCACCCCAGGCACTACCTTCTTCTACATGGAGCATAGACAGGAGGCAGGTTAGAGGGATGGGAGTTAGGAGATACAAAGGAATACAAACCCCTTCCCAGGACCTCCGCAGCCGGCTGCTGCACAGCGCTCCCCAGCGCAGCATGCCGCTTACATACCTAGTGCTACACAGACCCCATCGTTGGTGGACCAGCATGCTGCAGGTTGTGGTACTAGCTTCCTGTTCTCACATCAGCTCTGGAGTACCAAGCCACTTTATACCTGCCCTGCTTGCAGAAGCAGCTCAGAGTCTCTCAAGGAGCAGCTTTCTGGGCTTCAGCTTTTACTCTGTGCCCCTCTGATTCTCCCGTACTAACCCACTCCAGAACATTCCCTTGTCCCTTACATTGAAATTCATTTGCCTGTCTCAGTGCTGGTAGGCCAGACCTGGGATCTCTGGATCTTTGGGCTGCCTGAAAGCCAAACTGTGTCCTTTCCATCTGTCTTCCTAGTACACATTCTCTGGGACAGAATGAAACAAGGAGAGCTCACAACGGGGAGACAGCCCTCCCTGAACCTCTCTAGCAGGGTCAGAGCCAAGGAGGATCCATGTATGCCTTCCTCTGGGCAAGAGAGGAACAGGTCCTTTGATAGTCTGTTTCAAGTTCCACTTATGGTATTCACTAGCTTGGTCTGCTCAAAATGGGTTCCATTTAGGCACCCAAGAGAACAAAAAGGAGTTTCTGCAGAAGTTTCCAAAGGATAATAGGGAATCACAGCTGAAGACCAACAAAATCTTTTAGTCAGAGGAGCTATGTTAAGGCTTGTGTCTGGACATTCCCCAAAGCCTCATGTGGTCACAGGTGGGATTTTTCAGAGATGCATGGATCTAGAGTGTGTGGTGCTGGGATCAAGGGTTTGGGATTTATTCACTGATTAGTTTGGCATAGTTCTGGGTCGGATTAAGGGTGCCCTGCCCTGGATGTGTTACCTGGCAGCCTGGGTAAAAACATAAGGGCCATAAAGAGGGTTCTTTGCCACTTGTTACTCGCTTGCTGCCTACCCTGCTCTCCCCTCTCCTGCCCTGGACTGTTTCTCCTCTCAATGCCATGGTGCCCTGCCTTGAAGCCAGTGGATTATGAACAGAAACCTTTACAAACTGAGAGCTAAATCAATCTTTCCTCCTTTAACTTTGGGTGTTTTTTGTTTCAGCAACAAGAAAAGTAACTAAGATGAACCACTAAAGCATTATTCAGCTTTTGGGAATTTCACATATCTGAAGAGAGCCTCAGATGGGAGTCCCAGAGCACTCAATGCAGAAGTCTGCATGTGGTTTACCTCCTGTCCTAAACCCACTGACTTCAGAACAGACTAAATCCTGGCTCTGTTCTATGGTATTCTCACATTTCCATCCCACCCCGCTCAGTGGGGACTGGAACCCAAGTCCCACACACTGAGCAGCATCCTCAGTTCTTTTTTATGGTAAGGAGCTAAACTCCCAAGGTTGGGCTCAGACTCAAGAACCTCCTGCCTCAGCCTCCCAGAGTGCTGGGATTAGGCCAGCAGCCAGAATGACTCTTACTCCACTTGTCCCCAAAGTGGCTATGCTCCACCTAAGAAGCTGGGGACCTGCTCTCTGCACCGTTCTCTGGCTCCGATGTGGACCAGATGCCCTGCACCTCAGCCCACATCCCAAGCCCGGGTGCCCAGGTGGTTACTGCCTCCCTTCTTACACAGCTTGACCTTCCAATGCTTGTGAAGTGTTTGCGAGAGGTGAAGCAGGAAGGAACCAGGGCAGCAAGTAACCAAGAGTTGGTGTTCATCATTCACAAAGCCACTCCAGATTTCCTCACCTGTCATCTATTATGCTCTCTGTCTGCATCCAAAATCTGCCCTCAGACAGACAGGGAGCACAAGGGACACACGGCCCCAGGTGATACTGGGCCTTCTTGCTCCAGAGGGCCTGGGATGGTCTCCTCCAAGTTCAGCACCTCCATCTCCGGGCCAGGACCTCAGGCACTCCCAGGGCCAGGTAGGCAGCCCAGTCCCCTAAGCCCCGGGCTTCCCCACTAAACTTCCCACCCATCTAGGAATCAGGGAGGGCAATTTAGAGCCCGAGTCTGTGTTTGGTCAAGAACTGTTTGAGGAAGGGGAATGGGCCACCTAAGAGCTAAACTCTAGGCTCACCTTAAGCGCTGACGACAGGTCTGCATGGGCCAAAAGGGCCCCGCTGGAACAGGTGGCCCCGTTGGAAGTGGCTCAAGGGACAGGTGGGGGAAATCAAGCAAAGGAATCGGAAGAGCAAAGCACCCAGAGGAAAGGGACCAGGAGATAGCAAGGAAAAATAGAAAAACCGAGACAACGAAACAAAAGGCAGAAAAGACTGGGGAAGAAAGCGGAGGAGCGCAGGGTCAGGGCGCGGCGCCCTTACCGGCGGAGGCAGAGCGCAGGCTCTCCAGGCTCCAGGCGCGGGACAGGGCGCCGCGCATGCTGCCGCGGCCACCGCACGCCACGCCGCTACTGTCGGAGTCGGAGCCCGGGGACAGCCCCGCGCTGCTGCTGCCGCTGCCGCCGCTGCTGCTAGTGCCGAGCTCGCCGCTCGCCCGCCCGCTCGACTCGCTGGGGCACTGCTGCGCCCGCGCGCAGGGGGCGCCCAGTTCCAGCCATAGGCTCGGCGGCGGCCCGGCGGTGGGCGAGGGGGCGCGCGAGCCGGGCGCGGGGCCAGGGTTGGGGGCCGCGGGGCGCACGGGCGGCGGCGCAACGTCCTCGGCACCTTCTCCGCCCCCACGCGAACGTCGCTCCAGGCCTGCTGACATCGTGGGGCTCCCCCAAGGAGGCCGCACCTTCGCTGGGCTCTGAGGGCGCCAGGGCGCGCGGGATGTGCGCGGTAGGGGTCCAGCGCCCACCGAGGGCGCGGCGCAGGCTCCCCAGGCAGCCGCGGGCGACGAGCCGCGAGTGACCCAGGCGCGGGTCGCCGGCCGGGCCGCACGCGCACGCACGCGCGCACGCAGACTAGGCGGCGGCGGCGGGCGCGGACGCAGCACGGTTCCTGGGCTCCCGCCTTCCGCAGGGCCGCTCCAAGGAATAGGGCGCCTGGGCCGTAGGGCAGCTATGGAGCAGGTGAGCTCTCTCCTTGGACCTGCGGATCCGGTGCGGGGTGAGGGGGGCCGGATACCCGGTCCTTGCCTGTGCACCCACGACCTTCTCTTCCCGAGGACTGCAGGTGCAGGAGCGCGCCCCACCCTTAGTTTGAGATGGTTAAGGAGCCACAGCCCTCGCCTATTTCTTTAAGTGCTTGTCAGTCTCCATCCCTGTGCGACCTGCATCTCCTGGAACACGGTCTCCCCTGTCCTAGCAACTAGGGGGATAGGGCAGGAGTACCCCGGCTATAAGTAAATGACGAATTCTGAAAACAGAAACAACTGGATTGAAACTGAACTACTAGACCTAGAGAGTTGCGTTTGCCCTGTCTCTCCTAACCCACCCTGTGTTTCAGTTTCTGTAACCGTGCTGAATGGAAAGAGGCGTAAGCCAGAGCATCTGGTTCTAAGCCCTGATTCCGTCTCTGACGGTAGTCGGGCGCCTTTCTTAACCTTAAGCATCTTTCCCTCTCACTCAGCAGACAGAACTATTAAGGGGACTTTCAGGATTCACGTGGGGACTAAATGAGAGGATGGGTAAATATGCACCATTATTTAGCACTATTTAAAGTACTGGGTGGCAATTGTTAGGCATATACGAAGTGTTAAGTCCTTTGTGAATGCTATTGAATTTCCACAATTTTATATGATAGGTAGTTTTAGTAGATCTATTTTATAGTTGATTTTAATTGAGGTTCAAAATAAACTAGGGTCACATACCTAGAAAATGGTGGAATTGGTTCCGCTGTTCAGCACCCACATTTTGGACATGCTAGAACTGTTCTCTTCTTACCCTTCTGAGGATTCCCAGATAGTTCCTGCTGGATTACAATCAGTATCACAGACAAGCAGCACTAAACCTACTACATTCAGCACAGTGCTATGTCCTGGGGACATAATGAATAAATATAAGGAACTTAGATCTGATAAGATAAAAGAATAGTCATCCAACTTACCTCCCCTAGAGTCTCACTAAAGACAGGTTGTAAAAATAGAGAAAACTGAAATCTGCTCGGGGAAGTACAGCAGGAGGAAGTCCAGTGACCTAGTTCCCCAGTGAAACTAGTAACAGTTAAAATTCCTGGAATGGTCCCAGGAGTGGATAGCAAACAAACATCTAATCAAGAAAATCGATGACAGCTGAGTAAAAAAGCCAAGCGCATGTGGCATGTAGGCCAAACCCTGTCCCTCTGCCCTCACAGCTGGGCAAGGGAGCGATTCCTTTACCCTGGGCTGTACCCAGAAACATAGGACATCTCTCCCATCCAGTTTCTGGTCAGAAGCCTTTCCTCTGGAGGACCAGGATGTCGACGTTTCTCATCTTGCTGCTGAAGTAAAGTCCTGGGCCCGCTGAGTTCTTGGCCTGCTGAGAAAACTTAGCCATTTCTCCCTGTTTGTGGAGCAGTGCTTCCATGGCAGGAGAAGCAAGCTAAGGACTTCAGCTGCCACTTCCCTTCTTCAAGGGTGGTCACAATTCAGAAGGTTGCCATTGTCTCCATTGCTAGATTTATAGCCCTCAAGATTCTGCCAAGGGTTACAGGCTATACACCTAATTTCTTCCCAAAGGAACTGACCTCATTTGTAACAGCACAGAGAAACTTATCCCTGAGGGTGCTTTCAAGAACAGTGGAGGCTGTGTGAGTAGAATTGAGAGATTAGTGGATGTAATGAAGATCCCATCTCTGGCTGTAACCCCACTAGTTTGCAGGAGAGAACTGCAATAAAGACAGTTGGGAGAAGCCCTCTTGGGTCAAACAAATACCAAACATTGACCTCAAAAGCATTCTTTCAAGTGAGCCAGAGTTGGATTGTATTAGTTTGCAGAGTGGTTACTGTTCCAAAACAGTATTAGAAATAATACTTCAGTTATCTGCCAGTTAGTAGAATGTAAACAACTGGCAGGCTTATTTGCCTGCTTACTAAACAAGCAAATAATACTAGGCCTGTGGATCAGGAGCGGCACTGAGTTGCTAAAATATCTAAAATGCTGAGTTTTCAACCAAAAATTATGAGACATGTAAATCAACAGAAAATTATTTCCAATACACTGGGGAAAAAATGGGCAGTAGAGACTGCCTGTGAGAGTGACCCCAGATGTCAGATGTATGAGAAAAATAATTAAAGATAGTCATTACAGGCCATTCACAGACTGCACAGAAGGAGAACAAAAAGTCAACAAAAAGCAAGCCCTCCCTGCAAATCTGGGTCATGCGCAGGTCATGGGAGGTGGGGACACCCAGACACCAGCCTTTTCCCCTGAATCAGCATCACTTATGGACTCTTGTGGAAGAGAGCATGAAGTCACCAAGAAGCAAGCCCTCCCAGTGAATTGGCATCATGTGTAGGCTGCTGGGGACACAGCCAGACGCCAGCCCCTTCCAGTGCATGGGCTAGGAAGCAAGAAGAGCCATTACCCACCTCACTCTCTTGCCTTCTGTAAGCAATCAGCTGGTCAGGAGAAACACAGGCTGTGATGATGGCTATTGAGTTGGAATACAATTTAATGCTTATAGTGTTTAGTGTTTCACTGACTTTGCAGGTCTAAAGCTGATGGTCTGGTCATCTATTCAGAGACCAACAATACACAATATAGCATCGGTGGGGAATCTCTTTCTGAAGGTGGTAGCCATGGTTAATTCCATATTATTTTGTTTTGAAGTCCTGTATCATTTTAATTGTTTTGCTGGGTTGGGTTTTATTCTGTTTTGTTTTGTTTGACTTTATTATAGCTGATGGCGTGGGCAACGGTTTCCAGTATGACAAAATATATTATGGTAGCCACTTTGGATTTACTCTTCTCTTGTTTTGAAGTCCTTTATTGTACTCATTGTTTTGTTTTAATTGGTTCTATTGTGTTCTGTTTGATTTTTACTATGTCTGAAGGTATCTGTAGCTATTTTGAAGATGGCAGGTGGCAATGTGGTAACCATTTTCACTCACACTGGTTGTTTTTTTTTTATTGGTTCTGTTTTGTTTTGCTTGGTTTTCTCTTTGAAATAAAAATTTAAAAATTTAAAAAAATTTAAAATGGTCACTATAAACATGTTCACAGAACTAAGAAACCACAATTAAAAGAAAAAAGTATTATGACAGTGTCAAAGAAAGAATATAAAAACTAGAACAGGAATGATTGAAAAGTGTTAAACAAAAATTCTGGAGTTGAAATGAATAACTGAAATAAATCCACTAAAAATTCATAACAGGCTCGAAGAAATGAAAGAAAGAGTTGCCAAACTTAAAGTGACTTAACAAGAAATTATGTAAGCAAAAAAAAAAAAACAGAGAAAACAAATGAACAGAGCCTTAAAAGATGTTGGAGATTAGGTGCACCAACATATGCATAATGGAAACACCAGAAAGAGAGAGAACAGGGAAAGCAAACTATTCAAGAAGTAATAACTGAAAACATCCAAGAAAGCTAAAGATTTCCAAAAAAGATAAACACAGAGACCCACAAACAAACATATCATAGTCAAAAGGCTAGGAGTAAAGTAAAAATAATGAAAAATCATGGACTGAATCCTCTGACACTGTGGAGCCAAAATAAATCTCTTTAAATTATGTGTCAGATATTTTGCTCCAGAAACCAGAGAGTGATCAACAAAGATAACTGATACTAAGAAGTGGAATCATTGCTGTCACAATAGCTGACCATGTGGTTCAGAAGCTTTTGGGACTCCTTTGTAGGAAAAGATTTCAAGATGTGGGATAGAGATGCCTTTGAATGACATAAGCAGAGCTTGATCTGGTTGGAGCTCAGACCAGAATACTGATAGGGCTATGGACAGTAAAGGCCAGGCTCATGAGGTTTCAGATGAGAATGAAGACTCTATGGAAATTGGACCATGTGCCCTTATTTTACATTCTAGCAAAGAACTTACACTTTGCTCATCGTCCTAAGATTTTTTTTTTTAATCAGTACTGGGGATCGAACTCACGACTGCACACTTGCAAGGCAGGCACTTATGCTGCTGAGATAAATCCCCAGCCCCTAGTTTTGTCTGAGGCTGAATTTAAAAATGAGGCTGAATCCTAAAATTTTGTCTGAGGCTGAATTTAAAAATGGTTGACTAATTGATGTGGTAGAGGAATTTTCAGGACAGCCAAAGTTTCAGGCTGTGACTTGGGTACCATTGGCCAATTTCTTCCAGATTTACAGTGACTCCTGGGACTAAAGCACAGAGCAAAAGGTTGGAAACATATGAAGTTTAGCCAGAGAGGAAGCTCACGTAAAGTTAGAGGCATACAAGGTATGGCTGCCGAAAAGATTAACCCCATTAAAAAGAAGCTAACTACTTTGCCTCATAGAAAGATGCCTTGAGAACATCTCGGGAATTGGTCAGACTCTACCCATTGTCTGTACAAGTGTGTTATGACTTGTGTGTAGATGTCTCCCCAAAGCTTCATACAGTCATAGGTGGGGTATTTTTCAGGTGGCTTTTTTAGAGGTGGAGTGTGTGATGCTGGGATTAAGGGTATATGGTCACTAAATCAGTTCACTGACTGGCTCGGCATCCACTTTAAGTCCAATAGCCTACACAGAATATAAAAAGCCAGAAAGAAGCTACTAAAGTTGCTTGGACTTGCTTGCTTGCTGTTTTGTCTTCTGTCTGTATGAACTGTTTATCCTCTGTGATGCCCCAGTGCCATTTACCCTGCCTTGGAACTAGCCAACTATAGACTGAAACTTCTACCAACTATAAACCAAATTAAGCCTTTCCTCCCTCAATTTTGGGTGTCAGGTATTTTGTTTCAGGAATGAGAAAGGTAACTATAACAAGGTAAAAGTGTAAAATTGTAAGAAAGATAC